TGGCCTCCATCAAGAGGGTAGGGGACCTGCACGCATTTTCGGTCGACGATTCGTGCCTAGAGTTCGGGCCGGCTGACTCCCAGGTAATCCTGAGGCCCCGGCCCGGCTATGTGTCCAAGGTTCCCACTACTCCCTTCAGGGATCAGGTGGTGAGCCTGCAAGCGCTGCCCCCGGAGGAGGCAGACCCAGCCCTAGCTTTGCTTTGTCCCATCCAGGGCATTGAGATGCTACGTAGACAGGACGCAAAACTTCAGGACCTCAGACCAGCTCTTTGTCTGTCACGGAGGCCGGCAGAAGGGGAATGCCGTCTCTAAGTAGAGGATGGCCCACTGGATTGTGGATGCCATCACCCTGGCTTATCAGGCACAGGGTGTGCCCTGCCCGTTCAGGTTGCGAGCTCACTGTACTAGAAGTGTTGTGGCGCCTCGCTGGCAGATATTTGTAGAGCTGCGGGCTGGACGACCCCTAACACGTTCGCTAGATTCTATAGCCTTCGTGTGGAGCCGGTATCCTCCTGTGTTCTCACCTCAAACGGGTAGAAGCACTGAGAGGCCCCGGCTTCGGGTCGGCTTGCTAAAACCGCTCCAGAGAGTCCATATCGTAGACCCTGTCGAGCTCCTCCATCCCCTTGGCAGCCAGACGTGGCGGAGCGTCCGGCGCCAGGCCCTCACTCGATGAATCCGTGAGAACCGGTAGAGGGCTGGGTTCCATATGTAGAGACCTAAGTGGCTCCCATAAGTGTAAAATCCACGGTATAGCCTCAGAGCCCATGTTTCCCCGGCAGACTTCCTGCTATTTTCCAAGAGGGTTACAATCACCTCTAATCAGAATCAGAATCAGAATAAGCTTTATTGCCAGGTATGTTTACACATACGAAGAATTTGTTTTAGTGACAGAAGCTTCACAGTGCAACAGAATGACAGTGACAAGACTGGACAGAGATAATAAAAAGAATAATATAAAAATAGACAAAATAGACAATGTACAAAAAAGCAAAAACACAATATATAATAAATCTTCCATATGCACCTAAACGGTTGTTCATATGTGTAAGTGCTTCCGAAACCTTCTTCGGAAGGATGGGGCTTCCGCAACGTTCCTGTCCCAAGTGGTATGGGTATGTTTTCCCAGTGTTATAGTGGGTAGTGCCTGTCTTGACTGCATCAGATGATCCTCCCACAGCTCCAGTGCTGCTTGCCACTGATGTGATTTCTACATAAATATATTACATCCGTGCAGGGCATGCAAGACAGCTTCTCGTCCAGGCCCTTGTCATTTTTAGGGTGGACTTTTGCAATGCTCTTCTGGCTGGACTCCCAACATGTGCCATCAGACTTCTGAAGTGGATGCCAACGGTTTTCAATGAGCCCAAGAGAGCCCATGTCATCAAGTTCAAGTCATTGGTGTTTAGAGCCTATAGAACAGCCACGGGCTCCACACCCCTACCTCACCCCTAACTCCATCAGGACAGCTAAATCCCACACAATCTTCAAAAAACAACTGAAAACTCATCTCTTCCATGATCATCTAACTGCCCCCTCATAAAATATTATATGCCTTCACTTTTTCTGTTCTCTTTACCCTTTTTCTGGTCTGTTCTCTTTTACCCTTATCTCTTCCTGTCCTAGCTTTTACTATTTGAATGATGGCTGAAAACGTCTCGTGTTCATTGCCAATTTATGGTAAATCGCTTGATGTACTCCTCAAATGTAATTCGCTTTGGAATAAAGTGTCTGCCAAATGAATAAATGTAATGTAAATGTAAAGCCAGGTAAGTAGAGAAAGTCAGACACACCATTTAAAATAGAGACAGATGGTTATGCCCTGAAAAGGGTTGAGTTATTATATAATCAATATAATAAATATAACTTGATGAAAAATGTATTAAATATCTGTTATCTGTGGTATATTTAAACTCCAACAACACTGTGAACTTTTAAAAGATATGAATAGCATGATAACACATTTGGCCATCACAAATACATAGTTATGCAAAAAGATATGAGAGACTCAAGACTGGCAGATCATACATAGTATAAATAGGCTAATTGGAACGCAGCACATCCTTATTTGAACAAAGCACACTTTAATAAATCCATATTAAACTTATTTTAGAGCTGTCGTTGTCGTATTGAGCGGGAAAGTGCATGCATACGTCTTTCCGCAAGACTCATGCAGTTTTTAACCGTGTGAGGAAGAAAAGTTACAATTGTATCTTTAAGTGTCCAAACTACTTTGTGGACAGGTGCAGGCTACATAAACAGACCCTGACCTGTATGCGCGCCCTCTAGCGGAGAAACTTTAGCTTGTGGATGAGGAGAGGATGTTTCTTGTTACATTGTTACAGTTTAATGTTTTATGAAAGGCTAATGCGTCTTAAACTGTCAGTTCACATGACATATGAGCCTCTTACGATGTTGCTACAATCACCTAGCTTACCATACTTTATAACGAGTGCATTATTTATCCCACAAAAGCCACACTGCAAGTCCAAATGGTGACAAAAAGTTTTGAGCTATTTTTAAATGATGTTATGCTTAAGATACTATAAATGTAGAAAGAACGATGTTTTTGTCTCGCATCAACGCCAAACTTATTCGTGACTAGACGTGTTTCCTACAATATTGCGTGAATATTTGTTTTGTTTTAATGTACTGATTTACTGTGCCGCTGTGAATTGCGAATTAGATGCGGATGGGAGGGGAAAACTCTGAACTGACATATGAGAAAGAGTGTGTGTGTGTGTGTGTGTGAGAGAGAGAGAGAGAGAGAGAGAGAGAGAGAGAGTATAGCTGTATCAGTGGACACGCGCACTTGCACAGATTGCAGTTGCGTCTCATATATGAAGAGACTCTTCACACCACAACCATCAAAAGAATTCATCTGGAAAACCGCCCTAAATTCCACGATTGCTCAATAATGCTGCACGCTCACTTGTGAAACTTCAGCGGACACGCATGAGGATCAGAGCGATTTCTGGCTTTGAGTCTGTGAAGGAACTATGATGCTTAACTTATTATTTCAGAGCGCATGTAAAAAGTGAATAATCCATCTGCAGTCTACTTCATCCAGGTCGCCCTTCATCCAGCATGCTCACTCTGACAGTAGTATTTCTTCTCGTGGTGAGTACACAGTCTGCAACTCAGTATGCAGTTCTAGAACTGTTTCTTGCTCTTGTCACAAGAAAGCAAAACATCATTGATATAGCAGACTTGTTAATGAAAATATTAAAAATGAAAAATTATATGATTTTTGTCTTCTGATTGTGGAAGTTGTTTCAGATTAGAATGGGAATTACCTGTTTGTTTATTTATTTATTTAGTGAGTGAGGGATTTTGACTCTTTGATAACACTTAATTTGATTATTTTATAACATGTAGGCTATATGTCTTCATATATATGAAGAGTTTATTTGCAAAAGCAGATAACTCAATTTTGATTAATATTCATAAATCATGTTTTTGTTATTGTTATGTTTGTATTGTGTTAGTTAGCTGCATTTTTTTTAGTTATTATTAATTAATCGAAACAACCCAACTGCAGTTTGACTGATATTAATGCAGGATAAAAAAAATAAAAAAAAACATGAATTTTGAACATTTGCAAATGATCTGCTTTTGCATATATATATATATATATATATATATATATATATATATATATATATATATATATATATATATATCACAGTATGCCTTTATACCTTTATATTTTTGCTAAATGCAGCCATGGTGAGAGACTTCTTTAAAAAAAAATCTTAATGAACTTTTTGATCGGTAGTGTATTTTTGACATCTGTAAAGTATTTTAACATTGAGTGTTCAAGTACATCCCATTTAAACCAAATAGCAATGTGCATTTAATAGCTACTGAAATAAAAAGCAGAGGCAGTGACTCTCCCTTCATTCTTCATTCTGTAGTTCATCAAAACTACGTGGGGACAGATGCAGAGAAGAATTATATATATATATATCACAGTATGCCTTTATAGTTTATAATAAATATAGTTTATAATATTATAGTTTATGCCATTATAGTTTATTGCACTTTATAATCAATATAATAATGAATTATAATCAGTCATTATAATCAGTTGTAATAATGCATTACAATACATGATCAAACAACACAATATTATACATTATAATGCATTCATTCAGGCATGTTGTAATGCTTTATAGTGGTTTATGAAATCATTAAATACATCATGAAGTGTATAATAAAGCATTATGAACACTTTTATTATCTAATGCATCATACAATGTGGCTTCAATTTCTGTTCTTTTTTTATATGATGGATAACTCTGATCTCGTCACGCCCACTTTGACAGACAGCACATTGTGTTCTTTCACTTTTCTTACCAGCTAAAATGTAGTTATTTATAAGGTTCATTGTTATTTAGTTTGTGTGGGTGGGTTGAATGAGGGGTGTATGTGTGTGCTATTGAAGCAAAAGCAGTATCAATAATGATAGATAATTCATGAAGTACACCACATAACTGCAGGCACATTTGTGAGCTTAACTGCTTTATTTTTTGTCTTTGTACCAATTTCCTTATAGAGACATGCATTGTGGTCACATGCCTTGTCTTGTTTCTGAACTGAAGCTGGAGCTACACCCATCTGAATGGCATGATGGGCGTGTGGGCAATAACTATATGTCGCAGTCAGCGTGCATCCTTCATATTAGTGTCATTTTACTGCTAGCTCAATTACTGTATGCTTTTCTTCCATAAAAGAAGTATACAAACACTTTATAGGTACTACAGCTGATTGTTCTGGATGTTTTGCTTATAGAGAAAAAAAGTACATGTAGACACATTAAAAGAAAACATATAATAATCTATTTGTTCAATGTTCGTTCGGTTGGCACACCAACAAGATCTCAAGACCCACAGACTGTTTGCTGTCCCCACATCATGCAAGTTTTATATGACATGAAACATTCATTTGTCTTAGACACTCAAACACAGATCTTGCAGTTAATGAAGAAAATGCCCTTGCCCTTGCAAAAGTTCCATCCACAAAGCAAAGGTATTCTGGGTGGTCGCTAGGAAGTTGTTGCTTACTGGTCCAACTAAAAAAAATTCTCTGTGAGGTTTTTGTCCATAAATATAACTAGAAGTTTAAGAAATCAACCCTAAATGTGGTTGGAACGTTTTATGATGCAATTCTAAATGGTTTACAGGCAGCGAATGTGGAAAAATAAGAAATTAAAAAGGTCAAAATAGGTCTTTACACAATTGAAAATTCTCCTCTAGTCTCATTGCTTCTGGAAAATGCTGTACATCATGTAGCATTAAATTACAAACTAAAGCAAACAAGAGAGAAAGAGCTCCATTAGCTCCACTATCCTCATTAGTGATAATCAGCTTTACCAGAACAGTAGACGACTTTGAAATGTTGACAAGTGCCAGCAGGCTAGAAGGGTTAAGAGTTAAGTGCATTCAAGCATACAAACAGCAGCTCTCAAACATCAGGTTGGCTTTGTGACAGACAGAACGGGAGGGAGAAACATTCTGCAGGACTGACTAATACATCCGCATGATATGCGTTTCATTAAAAACATTTTTTGGCTATTCAGTATGTGCAGTATGTGTCATGAAGCTCTCTATAAATCACTTGCGTGATAAAATGGTGTGAGTGTTAGTTTGGACTGCAGGTTCTCAGTAAAATAAAGGAAGCATACTTGTCATTCCTATTCCTATCTACACCTGTACCTTTTCAACATCACTATTGCTCGCCTTATATGTAGGGTTAGTAAACTTTTGAACAGAACTCATCTTGCACCGTTTGTGCTACAGACATGAATGATCCCTAAAATTAAGCATCTTGTTAAAAATAATTGTTACCTTTTTAAGCAATCAAACTAATCGATTTTACTAGGCAGGCAATGTTGTTCTTTTGAATTATCTATTTATTAAATAATCCTTAAAATGTATCGCAGTTTCCACTAAAATATTAAGCAGAACTGTTTTCAACATCAGTGATAATAAGAACCATTATTGATAATTATAAGCACCAAATCAGCATATTAGAATGATTTTTGAAGGATCATGTGACACTGAAGACTGGAGTAATGGCTGCTTTACCATCACATGAATTACATTTTAATAATATATTTAATTAGAAAACATGTTTTTTTAATGTAATACTATTTCACAGTTTTACTGTTTTTTCTCGTATTTTTAATCAAATAAATGCAGCCTTGGTGTGCATAAAAAAAACGTTTTCAAGAACATTATTAAAAACTATTCCAAGCTTTTGATCAGTAGTATATATTTATATAATTTATATAAATAATGAATAATTTGTTGCTATTTATTAAATTATCATGTGCCTATAAAAAAATGAAATGTTATTAAAAATAGTAAAATAAAATAAAATAAAAAGGCCCTTACTAGAGCTGCCTCTTGCATCCGAGGGTGTTAGCGATTGCATTGCAAAGAGCCAAAAATCATCACATGGTTGTGATTTTTGCAAGGCAAGCACCACTTACTTCTCTTTAGAAAGTGTAAAAGACTACACTAAAACTTGATAGTTCATGAACGCCAGACAGATGTTGTTGATGAATGCATTTAATTGGGACCATTCTTAGGAGTATGATTAATGAAAGTCAACATGTTCTGAAACGTTACACTGACTTTTTCGCTACTGATTGTATCTACTTAGACAGCGCTGCACAAGTTGCAGCAGCTTGGCTTCCTGTCAGGATAAATGTGACTGCAAACAGGTTATATGACATGCATCGTTGTTTCTGACCCTTCACACATTTCTACAATCATGGTAATCAGCAACCTCATAATTGCGCACAAATGCTGTGTGGCCAAATCTCTAGAGTTATCTGTTTGAGTCATGGGCTGCTGAACTTTTGGGGGGTGTTGAACTTTTCCTGAGTTGGAATGCTCCTGTAGGGATGTGTTTTTACGTGAGCGGGTGAGGAGGAGGAGGTTGCCCCATGCCAGGGGGTAATGTGAGGGACAGGTAGAAACGATGGAATGTTCATTTGTGCTTTTCCAACCTCCTCTTCTTCTCGCTCAGCTCTGCCACTTCTCCAGCTGACTCACAAACGCCTCGAGGGAATCTTCTAATCTGTCTTTCTTTCACTCTTTAATTCTGTCTGTCTTCTCACTCTTCTAAACGTCATTCCTCACATTTCCTGTGTCAAACGTCGTTATTCAGCCAATCAGCTTCTGGCATTCATGTTACAACCTCAGACATCAGCTGCTTTAGTATAAGGCTTATGGTGCCTTCAAGTTATGTTGGAAAAAAATCATATTTATGGGATGCACACATGAATAGCATGACAATGTCAGTTTTAGAAGTAGTAAACAATCATTTCTTATCTTGAGAATAATCAAATGTATTCCCGAATTATGTGTAAATAAAACATTTTTTAATACTTAACTTTTTAAAGCTCACTGGAAAGTAAAATGAATGAAAATTAGATAAAAAATAATGAAGTTTTAAAAATAAAAATATAGTTGCAAGACAGAAAATATATAAAGTTACAAGTACATTTTTCATTTTTTACACTGAGGCAGTAAAACACTTCCATTGAATTAAAAAATTTTTTTTTTCAAATCATTACAACAGAAATTAGTTCTGCTCCTATTTCAAGATTGAGGCCTGTAACATAATTACGGATTATGACTTATACTGTGTTTTTACGCATTGCGTTGCATCGCATCGCGCCGCGTAAACATAAAACCATGTCTGCATTTGTGGAAGGCCACACAAAGTAGTTTCACTTTCGCAATGAAACCCACAGGGTCTTCACAACATGGCGGCGGTTGCAGCAACAATAAAGTTATGCCGAGTTTGAAATTAACACCCGCCAACCCGCCAAATGCGGGTAAAAATCAGCTATGGCTGGTAACGCTGTCAAATCACTAGTCAATTTGTTGGGTTACTTTTCGTAAATTATGTTCACTCATTCATTTCTTGGGGAAGTTCAAGCTGATCAAATCTGCGCAGGTTTAGCGCAAATACTGAACTCGTGAGACATCATGACATTATCGAGTATATTGCAAAAGGTAAACAAAACACACCTACAGAGGCACGAATACGCAACGAGATAAAGTCTGGTTAGACCAACACAGGATTTAGTGCGCGTGCGCATTTATAGTGCGCTCTTTCGCTGCATGATTCAGTCTATTAATATGCATTAACAATGATCACATACTTCAAGATAAGGAGGCAAAAAATTTATATATTTATATCAGTTCATATAGTTCATCAATATCACACGAAGAGTGTCGTTTGTAATCAGCATGGTTACAAATGTGATATTTATTTTATAGGCCTACAACAGTTCAATAAACAATAAGTTAATATCTAGAGACTTACGTTTTAGACACCATATTGGCTGTTTTTGCGCTATTTCTGTGCTATTTCGCCAACAAAAAAAATTCCAAACACAGCCACAGCACTGTTTTGCGTCTCTGAGCAACTTGACGTTGTTTTGTTTCAGAATGAATCAACCGTGTAAATGATACGGTTCAATCGCAATGACTCACTTAACAGTAACTTGCTGCCACCTACTGGCAGTTTCAATTTCACATTTAAAGTATCTTTTCATTTTTTTAATATCAAATATCAGTATTCAACATTTCATGTTTTAAATATCAAAACATTATTTATGCATTTGTAACTGCAGTTTAAAGCATCCCATGTCCCTCAAAGCTGCATTAACATATGTAAATGCCACTTCATATGCAACTTCTGCAAAGATTAATTTTATTGATACTGATTTAATTTGTTTAGTAACAGCCTAAATGTATTATTATTATAACTGACTGATTAAATGTAAGAATTTGACTCAAAATATGATGAACACTTTCAGAAAAAAATTGCTTTATAAAGGTAAGAATGCCCATAAAATTTAAAAATCAATTTAAAATTATTGGAAAAGATTAATTTCTATCACTGCTGTGAACTGACCACACAGAATATGAAGAATATCAAAAACTTTAGGAGTCAGCTGTCCACGGTAGTCCTTAAGATATCAGCACAATAACACACTCAGCAAAATATCGTCTAATTATCTTTATCGATAAAATCACAGAAAATATTGAGATATTATTCTTTGTCAATATCGCACACCCCTAGTACTAACAAAATGATTTGTCACGCCCAGTGTAGACGGCCTTAAACTGTTGGTGTATTTCTGTCTTTTTTTTTGGCTAGTAGAAGTTATGAATGGCCGGTAACTTAAAAATTTAGTAGCCAAATTGGCTGGTGAGTGAAAAAGCTAATTTCAATCCCCGCTTGTAACACTCCAAAGAGAAAGGAAAACTTGAAATCGCATCATTTGACCCTTTTAAGTACTTTTAAGAATGACTTAAATCCGAAAAAGTTGCAATTGTGTGATGCAAAGTTATAGTTGCAAAATATTAAGTAACAATTCTGAGAAACAAAAATTGCGATCGGGAGATACGAAGTTGCAATTTTGAGAATTGAAGTTAAAATTACAAGATATAAAGTTGCAATTACCTTTGTTTTGTTTTTTTACTCTGAGACAGAAACAAGCTTTTACATAAGTGCAATTTTATGTACGATTAACACAGAAATGTATTCTGCTCACATTTTATGAATGAGGCCCCAATGCGCATTCTTTTATTTGGCTGTACTTCCTATATTTATGTGTAAGAAAAAAAATGTTTTTATGCCAATTTTATTTCAACTAAAATCAAATGTACATCATGTTGTCATAGTGATTTTTACATTTGAGTACAGGACTTTCAAGAATGACTTATAGGTATAATAAATTATTTGTTATTTTACCTTGTGAATGTAAATAAAAATCATTGGACAAGAGGCATGTGGTGAAACACAGAATGCCCTGTTCATCTGCCATGTTTAGGCTGTACCTGTCAGTCTTTCAGTTAGATAGATGTTCAAATGAAAGGCTGCTGTCAGAGAGTTGAATTCAGGTTAAACATACCATGAAGATTTACTGTTTATGCGGATACAGTCTGGTAAAACGCATTTATTTCTTTTTGAAGCTCTCTTATCCTCTCCAAAGCAATGCTGTTGATAGGCATCATCAGACATTATCAGGACTAAATAATGTAACAAGTCTTGTTACACAAATAGTATTTTTGGCTGAGTCTGTGGGGGTCAGTTTCTGGGATTGCATACCCTGGAGACAGACTCAACCAAAGCAAAGACACAGGAGTGAGAAAAGTCTGAACGGTCAATGGTTTCACGTCTATATCTACAGCCACAGGCTTTTTCAAAATGTTTCCCTAAATATGGTTTAATAGCTTTATTTCTTTCAATTTGTAAAGCTGTAATATTATGTCAGCTCACAATGCTAACTTCTACCAGTATCTACACTAGTTTTAACATTTAAAGCTGAAGTAATTTCTGTACCATCAGCAGCAACTATTTTTTTTAGATGCCAAATATTGGCTAATTTTTTAATTTTCCCTTTTAATAATTAGCCAATAAACTTTAGTTTATGTTACAGCAATGTAATACGCTATTGGTGGTAAGAGGCTGGTGGTACAGTATTAAGGCACAGTCACTTTAGTAAAACTTCGGTGAGATTTCATGGGCAAAGTAGATCTATTGTCTATTGTCAATAGCGTAGCAATTCATAAAGCACCGCTTGCTCAGTGGTCACTTCCAAACTAAGCAGCTTTATATTGGTAAACCTAGCAAATTGCATGTTAAAAGTTCAACAAACTTGATAATGTAGTAACTGTATCACTGAAAAAGTAAAACAAATGAAAGTAAATTAAATTTACTTCAAAGGAAGTCACACTTTGAGATATAAAGTTGCCGTTGTGAAACAAAAAGTCACAATTGCAAGATATAGTCACATTATGGGATATAAAGTCACAAAGTTGCAATTGTATGAATAAATTTACAGCTGCGAGATATTAAGTTAATATTCATTAGAAAAACTTAAAAGATTAACAAACAAGAATCCAATGTGTAATTCATGTTCACTGAATTTGGCCATACAAAGGTAAATGTGACTGTACCTCTAGTAAGAGGGACATCTTTATTATAGATGTGGATGAAAATTTGGAAACAAGTGCAAGTGACATCATTAGTATGAATAGATTTGAAATGTGTTTATTTGATGAAATATTATTTTGTATTTCTGTATTTGCTCAAACTCTGTCTTAATTAAAGTCTCAATGAAATGGAAGTAGCGGCAGATCTTTAATTCCATATTGTGACTTACATCAGTGTATATATTTAAAAAAATGAAATAGATTTTTAAATACATGGATGATTCGTTCATGTTAAATTTTTGTTTCATGCTTCTAATTTTCCCCTCTTTATCTCTGTAGGGCAAAGTCTTGTCTACACAGAATTCATGTCCTTCAGGGGCGTTCACCACCAGTGGGGAGTGCTGCAAACAATGCCAACCCGGGGAAGGGATGGGGGAGCCCTGCGGAGCGAGACAGACAGTGTGTGAACCGTGTCTCGACAGTGAGTATCCACAGAGATGTTGGCCGTGGCGTTGCTAAAATGAAGCAGCTGCCTTAGCCATGGTGGAGGAAGGGCTGACGACTCCAGGGGGCCGACCGACGGCGGCGGAGCAGGTGGAGGAGCCCGAGGCAGAGACGAACAGCCAATAAGCCAGGGCAACGAGGAGGATCCGGAGGGCCAAGGCGGAGCAGATGGCTCAGGCGACCGAGGCGGAGGAGGAGCCGAAGGGAAGGAGGACCTTGACAGAGCCAGAGGGACAGAGGGACAAGACGCAGGCAAGGGATTCTCCAGCCACGCCGACGATGGAGACGCTCGCACCGAAAAGATGGTGGGCTGAGGGTGAGCAGAGGGGCTGCCAGACGACAGCGGTGGAGGAGGCAGGAGCTCACTGAAAACACTCAGAGGGGTGGGAGGGTGGGCATTTGTGAGCCTCCGGACTCTCAGGGCTGGTGTGCGCTGCCCACACACACCAAATCGCGAATCCCAGCACTGGGAGCGTGTCAGACAGGGGAACGACAGGGCTGGCAGACAGTTCTGGGCAGACTGGTAAGTCCGAGGAAGGTGGGAGGAAAATGGGCATATCCGCATATATACAGTGGGGCAAAAAAGTATTTTTAAGTCCCCTTCAAAGTCCAGTAGTCCCAGATACACAATAAGCTCACCCTCAGCCATGGTGCAGTGGGCGGAGCTCCTCTCTGTGCTCTCGCTGTCCACAGCTTTTTCCCTCGTGGCGGGTGTTGTGGCCGGCTCTTGCACCTGGTCTGACGTCACTTGCAGCTCCGGCTCCGCTGCGATCCTCAGCTGTGTCGCTCTGTGCGGCGATGGCTCGTCGGTTGCGGCGAGATCGGGCTCTCCATCATTGGTGGGCTCGGGCTTGCGCTCCGCACAGCGGGGTGAGGGGAGGCTGGGCTCTGGGTCTGGCTGTGTTCTGGATCGGGGCCGGACACTCTCCAGACACCGGATGAACGTCTCCTTCCAGTTCAGTCCAGTGGTGTCTGGGAGGTCAACAGGGCGATGGTAATTTGCCCCAATCCAGAACAGTGAGTTCAGCGCAGCATCGTCGAATGCCGTTAAAACGGCGAGCTGGCTGATCTCAACCACATACTCCAAGAGGGGCAGGTCCTTACGGGCTAGGGAGACGAACAAAGCGGCAAGGGGATCCATAGGGAAAAAAACAAAACACTGTGCAAAACTCTGAAAACAAACGGAGGGGAAACACGCAAATAAACTATTTTGTAGGTCCGGTGTTCTGTCACGGTGACTACTGTGTAGGAGCGAAGGAGCGCAGAGACGAAGGAGAGTCACGAATAACTGTCTTTAATGATCCAAACAGGGGGTAACCTGTTCAGGCAGGAACACACATGTAGCACGTAGCATCGATGACACCGGACAAAGGAACGGACAACACTTTAAATACAAGACTAAACGAGGGAAGATGATGAGACACACCTGAACTGAATGAACACAATCAAACAAGGAAGAAAACTAGGTCACAGAGCACATGGGGAGAAAAACACACACAAACAGTCCAGGGGTCTGACATCTTTCATAACTCAGAGTCTTGTTTCATTTATATATGGATAACTACAATGTAGTAAATGTTAAAGTTGTACATGGTTGGTAACTATATGAATTCTAATCTGAACACACTTTTTTAAATGTTAAACTTTGAGTTTGTTTGTATCACATCATAGTAATTTCTAGATCTTGCAATGAATGAAGCTATTGTTTCTATTCGCTGAACAGTAAATTTGGCGCATTAACACATCTATTTAATGAAAGTACAAAAATTCTCTCAATGAATATGAGTTCATACAAGCTGCTTGCATAATAATATAATATGTTATATTAATAATCAATATTTTTAAATGAAGAATATCTTGTCACCTCAGGACATGTCAACTTTCATTATTAATCCAATATGTCAGCCAGGCTAATGTCAGGTCATATTTGTCCATTATTGGCATTGGTCAATAACTGTGCTCAGTTTACATAAGTTTTCATTGCATCCAGTGTCAGTTCCAAAGTCTACCAACTGCCTTTTTCATGAGTGATGCAATTTTTCAAATGTTTATAGTCAATTTTGAGTAAATATTGTGTATAAGTTAATTCAGAAGTTTTGCATGGTAACATCTAAATTAACTGGTTTTATTCAAGTCAAAAATATTTAAAATTACAGAATCAATCTAAACACATCCGGTTATAACCAACAAAACTCATTTTATGGGTTAGATCAAGTACAAACAGCTCTTTAAGCTAATCATTTATATTTTGGCTTTATACTGGCTATTTGCCAATGCTCTTCAAATATCTGTATCGCATCAGCCATTAATAGCCCACATCAGCTGAACACTATATGTGTTCTGTCTCATATATGTTGTTTTGAATCTGAAGACATGAGTATTATCAGCCGTATTTGTTACTTAGTTCTCTAGCAGTTTAGTAAACAGAAGATATTGACAGAATGTTACCTCAGCACTTTATAGTCCTAATGTTAATTGACACATAAACTCCATGACTTGTACGGTTGAGAACACCCCCACACATTGGCCATCTGTCATAATGCATAGACATGCATTATTGATGGCTATTGATGGCATTATGCTAATGGATCTCAAAGGGTAGAGATCAGGAGAAGAGTAGACTCAGAGGGAGAAAGACTGAGTGGACAGGAATTCATCTGCAGGAAATGCACAGACTACCCATCACAGTCTCCTAAATAAAGCCCCAATAACTGGCTCCCAGAAGCCACCACATTACCCCGTTATCATTAGGGCCATTAGCAGCTCCAGCACACAGGGGAACTCATAATGTGCAACTCTATTTGTCCAGCACAAAGACACAATAGCGTTTCATCCTCTCTGATAGGTAGATGTAAAGATAAATGTGGCATTAGCTTGGTATCTTTCTCTGGTCACTACTTCCATGAATATCCTGCCTCTGGCATATACTGAAACACTTGATATGGTTTGGGACACTGAGGCGATGTCCCCTAAAGAGGGGCTAGCCACAAGAGTTGTGCTGTCTCACAAACACACACACATATACACGGACAAAATAGCTTCCTGAATAATTTAGTGATAGCTAGACCTCTATCCACTAATATATCTGAATAGGATGGAGGATGGGAATACAATACCATAAGCATGCAGCATTAGATATTTGCTCTCCACTCTTTGCAATACTGACATCATAATTTCTTCTAGCTTCCTGTAGATTCTAGATATCTATGAGAATACATGTGGTCAAAATATGACTCATGACTTTGTTTTACCCTTTTTTCTAAAACTAAGAAAGTATTTTTTAATATGGCCCATTTTCAGGAAGCTGTGTCATTCTATGAAATGGCGCCATTTAGTATTTCAGAAAGCAGATTTAGAAATCATATTTTTCCAGCTCGGCTCCAAACTGCTAGGTCCATAACTGCCATAGATATTGGAGGCCACTAATATTCAGATTAGCAAACAACATGTATGGTTTCACCCCCTCAATTCTATAGTTGTAGCTGCATGCATCCATGCAGGTACCAATATTATTACATTATTACTGGCCAAACCCTAAACGTTACATTGTTTAACCCTTTCAGAGTAGTTTTGGAATTTATCAAATTTAATATTGGTTTCATAATCAATCACACATCATATTTTGAAAAAATATTTATCTTCCAAATATTTTAAGCTGATTGTAATGGGGTTGAAGGTGAATGCAAATTTGGCTAATAGCATCTGAGCCTATAAATATCATAACTGATAAATGTAATTTTCATCCTGTAATATCCCATGAGTTGAAATATTGATATTTACAAAGCTAATGTAAGTGATGTCAAGCACATCTTACCAGCAATCATACACTCATTCACTTCCTTCTTTCCACTTTCTGAAAAAGAAGTCTCCAAACATCCTTTCCAATCATCCTACTACTTGTCCACTTGTTCCTATTCCATCTCATATTTTTCAAGCTATTTCTCCTGCCTTGGTTCATCCCTTCACACATCCCTTCACACTGGTGTTTTTCCCTCAGCATTTAAACACGCTCATATAACCCCATTACTACCCAATCTTAACCCAGCTCTTTTAGAGAACTACAGACTGGTTTCCCTTCCTCCTTTCATTGCAAAAACACTTGAACAAGTTGTGTTCAACCAAGTATCTGCCTATGTCACACAGAAAAACCTCCTGGACAGCAACCAGTCTGGCTTTAGAAGTGAACATTCAACCGAGACTGCCTTGCTCTTATACAGACTGGAAAGAGCGACTTCCAAATCTTCAATACTTATCTTGCTGATTCTGTCCGCTGCTTTTGACATGGTTAACCATCAGGTCCTCCTGTCAACCCTATTGGCAAAGGGCATCTCAGGAACCACACTCTAATGGTTTGAGTCTTACCTCTCAGATAGGTACTTCAAGGTATCTTGGAGGGGTGAGGTGTCCAAGTTGCAACATCTAGCTACCGGGGTGCCTCAGGGCTCAGTTCTTGGACCACTTCTCTTTTCTTCTCTGTCTACATGACATCACTAGGTTCTGTCATTCAGAAACATGGCTTTTCATATCACTGCTACTGATGACACTCAACTCTCTCATTCCATCCTGATGATCCGACGATAGCTGCTCGCATCTCAGGATGTCTAACAGACATTTCTGGCTGGATGAAGGACCATCACCTTCAACTCAGCCTTGCCAAGACAGAACTGATTTTGGTTTCAACAAACCCATCACTTCATCACAATCTTACCATCCAGTTAGGCACATCAACCATAACTTCTTGAAGCATCTTGAAGATGTTGCCACAGTTCTTCTGGATTTAGTCTGTCTCAGTTTGTTCTGTTTCTTCATGTCATTCCAGGCAGACTGGATGATGATGAGATCAGATCTCTGTGTGGTGCACTGGCTGTTGTCAGACTCCTTGTGCAAAAAAAAATATTTAATACAATTAATGGCAAAATTAATTTTTGGAAATGTAAACTGATATTTCCTACTGGCACACTACAGCAAAAGATAGAAATAACTGACTTAAAACCCATTTTTTAGCTGGTGAAAATACTAGTGTTCTAATAATTTTGTCCATCACTGTATATTTTTTACACTTGTGTATATAACAGGGTTGACATGAACTATTTTAGTATCATTAATATACTATGATCTTTTCTCCTTCTGTCTTCAGGCGAGACATTCTCAGAGAACTTCAGCCACACGGAGCAGTGCCAGCCGTGTACACCATGTTCTGAACTAACACGCATGCTGGCGCCCTGCACTGATGCCAGTGACGCGTTTTGTGTCTGCGACTATGGGTTCTTCTTCAGCAAAGTGACGAGCCGCTGTGAGGCCTGCACGGTGTGCCCTGTGGGCCAGGGTGTGCTGATGCGCTGTAATTTTGACCTTGACACGGTGTGCGAGGAGTGCGTGGATGACACGTATTCAGATCAGGAGACCTCTTTTGACCCCTGCATGCCCTGCACCGTCTGTGATCAGCCTGAGATGGAGTTGAAAAGCTGCACGCCTCTCAGTGACGCTGTCTGCCAAGGTAAGAGAATCGAGTATAAAAATCAAATAGAAGTTGTAAATAGGTGGGTTATCAGGACACAGTGGGACAAACAGATTTTTGTTTCTCAACTTCTTGCTTGGTTTTAAAATCACTGGCCAAGAAATTGCCCTGTGTGTTGGCCCTCTATGACTGTTTTCTGGAGATGACAGTTGAAGACAAGTTAATTATGACAATTAGATTTTTAAATAACCACTACAATACTAGTGAAATGGTTTTTATTTATTTATTTATTTTGTGTGTGTGTTGCTGAGTGGTTGCTAGGGGTTCTGGGTGGTTGCTAAGGCATTTCTAGGTGGTCAGTAACTTTCTTCCACCATTTTACATGCTGTATTGATGAAAATGTATTTTTCACTTCCTTTACTTAATGCATTATCATAAATGTTCTCCATGTCTGTAAAGAATTCACAGCACCAGTGCTTCTAAAACTCTGTTGTATATTCAATATTTGGTATTTCAGGAGCTTGTGTCAAAACAAAAAAGATTTCACATGCTGTATTTATCTTGATACATCTTTATATGTTTAATACTTTTTCATAGTTATAGTTTATAGTTGTATTTACTAACTGTTTATGATTTTTACTGTTTTTGATAGAAGTCTCTTATGCTCACCAAGGCTGCATTTTTTTTTAATATACAGTAAAAACAGCAACTGTGAAATACTGTTACATCTTCATAAATGTTAAAAACCAGGTAATCTACCATTCAAAAGTTTAAATGTTTTTGTATTAAAAGTGTCATTAAAAGTATGTTTTTTTTGTAAGAAATTACTATTATTCATCAAGGGTGATTAAATTGATCATTAAATTGATCAAAAGTGACAGTAAAGACACTTATAATATTACAAAAAATATCTATTTCAAATAAACGCTGTTCTTTAGAACTTTCTATTCATCATTCAATCCTAAAGAAAAAAATGTAACTGTTATCACATCAATATTATGTATCACAACCATTTTCAACATCAGCATGTGACACTGAAGACTGGAATAATGGCTGCTGACAATTCAGCTTTGCCATCACAGGAATAAAGTACATTTTAAAATATATTCAAATAGAAAACAGTTCTTTTAAATCAGATAATTGCAGCCTTGGTGTGCATAAGAGACTTCGTGCAAAAGTGTAAAATAATGTGTAATTATTCCAAACTTTTGACCAATAGTGTTCATATTTATAGTTGTTAAAAGTTAAAATTAAATAAGCCTGACTCAAATAATAAAACATAAAAAATACTTATATAAAGGATATTTATGTCAAAAACAAAAAGAAAACTATGGCAAAAAATTATATATATACAGTATATATATATATATATATATATATAAATAAATAAATAATTAAAAATGTATAAGACAGTTCAGCCTATGACTGCACGTGCTGGATACATTAATGAATGAGATTTGCTAATGATCATTGTGTCAGTTCACTGTTGTGTTTGTGTGTAGATGTGGTATGTGGTATGACAAACAGAAAAGCAGTATGATTTAAAACTGAGAAAGCCCAAAACACTTCAACTTTTTGTGTGCCCAGCTCACTGAACTCTCTATATAATGTCAGATGCTCTTGGCATAGCCGGAAGCTTAATATTTGCCATCTTATTACTGAGCTGAACTTAGCTGTGAATAAAATTAACAGTATCTTGAGCAAAGGATCACATTCAAAGATCTGCAGTCCACATTACAGGCTTTGTTCTGTGTCTGGCCACAAACACGGTTTCAGAAGAGGATCAGAGAAAGAGGCTTTGTACACAGCCCAAGTTCTGCTATCAAAGGAAACCATACTAAGTGCAGCAGGGTCCATAAATGGATTTTGAATGTACTTTCTTAATGTATTCTCATTATGGCATTACACAGACAATATATGATGTAATGAATTTTAAGCATTCTGTGCAATGAGTGTGTATAGAAACAGACAGCATCTGTAAAATGAAAAAATTGCAAATCTTATCACTTAGGAAAATAATACAACAGTTCCACACAATTTGAGACATTAGCATATTAGTACAAAATCATCCTCCAAACTCGTTCCTCACTAAGTTTTATTACTTCAAACTTACAGGGCAAGGTTTCTTAAAATCCATAAACTTAAGTATAACCCATAAACTTAGCAAAATTTGCCAAAATCTCACCACTTCAGTTGTTATTTCTAATTTGTTTGAATATGCGTGTTTCTGGATTGTCTTTGACACATAATTGTCTTAAACAAAGATTATTATTGCCATTGTCAATAGCTAATCAGGACATATTAAACAGTGATGTTCTGGTTTGGGTCAGTTTGTACATGACAGCCGAGACATGCATGTGTGTGTAAGTGATGTTTATCTGTTAATGATCAATGTAAGATTTTCTCTGACCCCGTCTGACCTTTTGCTGGGGTCTTAACGTGAAGGTGAGAGGTCATAGGTCATGGGTGGCTACTGATTTCAGTTCGTCCTGGGTTCTATCAACATGGAAATCTCCAGAAGAAAGTAAATTAAATGTGGTGCTCTCTGCAACAAGGAAGTGAGGTGTCTGTTTCAGATAAAGAATGTTCTTATGTATCAGGAACTTACCAGATTAAATGATAAAATGATATAAGGGTGTTTTCACACCTGAGTCCTTTTTAAAAGAACCAAACTTGAAGTGGACCAAGCAGTGAACCAAGTGAAAAAGGACCCAGATATCTTTATGTTCACACTGTCCCTTCCCCCGAAAGAGGACTTAGATCTTTTTTTGGTCCGTTTAAGCACTAATATGGTTGCAGGCCTCTTTTAATCCACTTACTGTTGCTTTTTGGAACAAGTCCACTTCAGTGCTGTGTGATGTGGGAACAGCAATACTATGCAAGATGGCTGACTTAAACCCACCACAATTTGGCCCATTTCACTTCCACTGTAAAACCCCTAACTGCCACCAATCAGAAAAGGTATTGGCAGTTTTCTACCAGAACATTTTCCGTTCAGTTTATGGACAAGTTAAGGTTTACGTGAACCCTAAAACACAACACAATGCAATGCAGTGGACAAAGTTCACAAGTTTATAAGGGTCTGAGATAATTTGGAGTGTTCACATTTGTTCCAAAAATCCAGCAAATTGCACTTAGACCCTTGAAAAGTGTGAAAAAACCTAGATCAGATTCGGATTTGAGACATTAATTGTGTTTCTCCTGCTCTAATGGGAAATTAGTCATGTGTGGGAACAGGCTGCATGAAAATGGCGTGTAATATCATTAAAAAGCATGAAGTTGTGTTGGTGTGTGGTGTGTCAAAAGAGCCCCATCAATCTCACCATACCCGGGAGAATCTGTCACATTTCATGTCACAGGTCACATTTCACCCGCAATCAAAAAGAACAAATATTTTGGCAAAGAAACCAAAGCCTTGTTACTGTTTTTATAACATCAGGATGTTGTACTTTAATTTTTTTATTTTTTGATGATTCTCATTAATCTCATTACTGGTGTACAATTTTTAGCATCAGTATAAATGCAACACCACAAATGCTATCATGATTAATAATATAATATACATAGTGAATATGATTTTTTATGAAAATATGGACATTATAGTAATGACAGTTTTTGTTCATTATTGTAATGACATTGTATAAATAATGTCAGAACTTTAGAATTTAAATCAACGGTAAAGAAAAATAAAGAAAAAACTAATAAACTGCTGCAAGAGAATAAAAATTAATTCACAAAAAATAATAATTTCAATAAATTATAATTTATACAGTTACACTTTTAACATTATACATTTAAAACAAGAAAAATCTGTGAATATTTTATATTATGGTTCGTCTGCTGTAATGTTTCTTTCTTGTCAGTGATTTCACTTGCCATCATCTCACTTTAAGTTAATCTGTAAAAACACAAATAATTTAATAACACTGTTGAAGGTGATTATCATTTGATTCACATTACTGTAATACAATTATTTTGAATAAGTATAAAGGCAATACCACAGATACAACATGATGTATAATGTACAGAAATGTCTCACATTACTGTAATTTAATTGTCTTAATTTTTTTTTTTACAGTTTTAGAATTGAAATCTAAGGGAAAACAAATAAAACACTTGACTAAACTAAAGCAAGACATTAAGAATATATTTTTTTAATGAATCATTTCAATACATTTTGCATACTTTTTTGATAGAATTATGAGGTATTATGACCTCAAGACTTAAAACTTTAAAAATGAAACTTCATAGTTCAATTTTCTTGTGATTGATTATTTGTAAGTGGCCATGAGACAGTGGAGGGCTTTTTTCAACAGTGAATGTGTGGAAGCACATAAAAGAGCTTTATTGGTCAATATCCCTCCCATCCAAACCTAAAGATTTATCATCACCCATATTGACTCTTTAACTTTGACCTCTCTCTCTGCCGAGTACAATGTATGCCTTGAAACCGAGACGCCTGTCTGTACTGGACAGAAATAATCAATCTCTCCCTCTGTTTGCCCCACTCTCCCCATCCTACGACAATGAAGTGTGTCCATTCATGACAACTGCTCATCCCCCAGCTGTCTGGCATGTGCCCTATGACATTAGTGGATGGAGCGATGAGCTGTTTTCTGGGGTAACGTAACGCTTTGCCCTGATGTGAGGGTTCAAGTGATGATCCGGCGTGTGCCTGAGCTTGTGTCACCCCATATGAAGCCAGTTTCTGCCTAATGAATTTCTGAAATTTTTAGCCAGTGGTTTTGTCCTGCTCTCCTTCTGGGATATAGCTGTGATTGTGGCTGTATTTACATCATTGAAATTCCAAGATGCCCAGTGTGGAATTTAAGCTTCTTACGAAGATTTTTTGAGCTAAAGTTTCCAAGAGAATCCTTTCAGTTGAGAACAATTTACATCTATTCTTTTATCTCACAATCTTCCCTTTACAACCCCAATGTCAAGGTTCACCCACTAAATTGTGCGGCAAGAGTGTGTCCGGATGAAATCACCGACATTCAAGCATGGAAGTTCATTGGCTGGTGAAGTTAATGAGCATT